CGGCATTCATGCTGACCCCCGGGACCACAGGAATGCGCGGCCTCGAATACCGTGCGCTGGATGAGTCTTAGCTGCGGTCGCTCATTACATAGCCTTAGCGGAAGCGATAGAGAGAGAGAGAGAGAGAGAGAGAGACAGAGAGAGAGACAGAGAGAGAGAAAGAGAGAAATTGAACAAAAACTTTACATCTATAATTATATGAAAGAATTTTATAATTCTTACATAATTAACTTAAAAGAATTATTATTACTCATAATATATGTATTCCACATTCTTATCTTTTTTTCTATCAAAAAATTAAAAAAAGATATTTCTTTTCATGCATAATTGTTGATGTTATTCATCTGGAATGAATAGAATTAGAAAAAAAATTTAATAATGAATATATGTTAAATATAAAAGAACAATTGTTTTATATACAGGATATGTTTTAAAAATCGCGTATTTTCTTTGAACCGAATGAATAACATAATATACACACATTGAATAATAATTTATTTTTTTTTTATATCCTATATATCGCTTTTTATATCATAATTACAAAAAAATTAATTACAAAGGTTAAACGAAAGTTCTATCTTTAATGCTGTAGTTGTGCATAATTACATATCTTAGATTTATTTTACGTAGATTGGTATTATATACGTCAGTTTATATATTATATATAATATCCATTTTTTTTCTCTTTTTATATAAACTCTAGCACAAAAGGAAACACAAATCTCGAAGAAGTAGACCGCCGATCAAACATGTGAATTCGTTTATAACCGATATGAATGAGAGAATACGGCCAGTTTAAGGAAAAAGGGCTTAGTGGTACGAGAAGCTCGATATGTTACAATTACAATATTTTTATATATCTTTGATGACGATTTTGATGGTAACAACAGATAAATACTACATATTGTACATTGAGTAGGCGATAGTCGTATCTTATTGTTATAATTAGCGTATCGGCGACGCCGACATTGATGTCGACGATGACGACACGACGATGACGATGACATAAACAACGTATTTCGTATTTTCAGAATCGACACGTGATCGACACGCGGCGATGACAACAGGAGTAACAATCTCAGTAACAATAACAGCAACAGCAACGATGACAATAATATAATGATAGTAATACAGGTAACAATAGTAATAGAGTATAATTATAGAAGTCGTGATAATAATAATTTCATTTAATGAGAATATAAAAGATTGTCCCCTAGTTTTCGAACGGAATGTTTCAGAGACTTTTGCGTCGCCTTATTTGTGAATAAACTTGCGATAAATGGTGATAACTTCGAGAAAAAAATAATCCTTTTATTAAAAAAATAAAATAAAATATTATTTAAGAAAAACAATTTTAATATCCTATTTTTCTCGGATATCGACGCTTCCTTAATCTTCTACTCATCAATATACTATATCTGACTTAAAATAGACAAGAAAAGAAATTAATTAAAATATTAAAATATATCTCAAACAATGATAAATATAAATTATCTTTTACACACAAAAATGTGCTTTTTACATGTTTTTTAGATGTTTTTTTTTTTTTTAACTCCGGGCACATAATTGTAAAAAGAAAAATGACTGTACCATCTTTAAGATAAAATATTATCATATTTCATGAGTTTATTCTTGTAAAGCATTGGGAGATTGAGTCTTTAAGCGTCACCCTGGAATGCCTCCGATATTACGGATACAATGCTTGTCGTACAAACGAGCAAAATGTCTCTGAATTTTCGAAATCAAGGAAAATGACGATCTCTTTTGACGCAACGATTTAACAAACGGTGACAAAGGGCTAGAGGCGAAATTTGTTTATTTATTTATTAGAATACGAAGGTTCCACATGAGTTTCTCAAGTAAACACCTAATTCATCCGGCTTAGAGTACATTCGTAATTAAAGAGCTTCTCTTCAAATCGTCTCGCGTCTGGTATAATTCAAAATTCGAAATTTTGAAGATATAGATTTAAGGCCGTTTGGAGACGAACTCTTTTGTTAGGATTTTCGACATGCACGTCATTGTGCTTGAAAATATAAACAAAATTTTGCCTCTGCTTTGCTTCTCGTCTCGTCTCATCTCATCAATTGATGGAATGATCGACAGACTTCTGTACACTAGTGTAACCAATTTCTTTCAAAATCGCGTCCAAGACAAAGAACTTTTTGCATATATGTATTACGTCGAATATTGTCGTCGTCGTAGATCGTCGATTATCATCGTCATCGTCGGCCATCCGTTCGCCAACGACGTCGCTCGAGCGTCGTCGTCGCGAAGCGTACAGTTAGTAACTACTAATTATCGCTTTCGTCTTTTTTTTCTCTCTTCAGTTCCGCATTTATCACACTTATTATGTAAATGGGTGTCTGAGGAATGTGTGTATGCGCGGATGCAGAGTCAGTGATGCATTTTTTTTTGCGCAATAAATCTATTGCACATCTAATCGACAAGAAAGAGAGGGGAAATTCTGTAAAAGACATTGATTGCAGAGACAGGAATTTTCGCGTAAGATAATGGAATAAATTGTGAAAAAAAATATATGGACGTGGGAGAAGATTACCAGTGATTCCCGAGTGCTCGATCATTTTATTATCTCTTGCGTTCTTTATATAAGTAATTTGGTAATTTTCTTTGTCAAAGAAAAAAGAAGAAAGCAAGAATAAACAGTACAATATAGGAAAAATGGTTATACATGAAAGAAAGAGAAATGTTGTAACAATTTTATCCAGATTTCCTGCCAACAACAGCAAAAATCCTATCCAGGAATCACTGGCTTACATTGAAAAGATAATTTACATCGCAAATATATTCCCACGTCTTGTTTTGCGGTAAGCATATGTCGATGACTACAAAAGCGCGAGTTCTTCATCGGAATGATGTGGAATCGGAAGTGCAGAATGTACACGACATCTCGTCTAATACATGCGTGTGAGTATATGTGTTTAGGTATTTGTGTCACGCAACGATATATACTAACATACAAGCCACTGACTCCGATCACTCTCAATAAGACTAAGTAAACGCTATGGCATCATGATAATCACCGATGGGGTGCTCTTATATCAAACTCGCTAGATAATAATTACGAACGATTAGCGCGCGTCTATTTTTCGCTTGATATTCGGATATGATCGCGATTATCGTATAGGTTCTCACCGTTGAGTTCATCGATAAGTTCTCGCTTCTCCGCGTTCATCTCAAGAGAAAGAGACCGATAGAAAGGAATATACAAAGCGTTACATTAGCTTCCGACACCGGAAGACTAGGTATACCCGCACCACACACTTGGCACTAAGTCCGGTTTATTTATTTCGCACAGAAGATCGTATAGAGTCAGTCAGGATAATTGTGATACAATTTAATAGTTTGCGATGATAAAAGCGATTATAAAATCATATGACATCGTCGGGAAATGCTATAGCCTCACATCTAGTATCGCAATATAATCCTGATTGTATCTGCGTCTACGAGAATTAGACGAACAAAGTGTCGAATATGAGATACGAGTACAAACTTTACGTACACTCGAGAGCTCTATTATGGATAATATCTTTCAAGAAGCAAAACCTTCAAGTGAGTTACTATTGAAAGTCACTCCCTCAATTTTGCGCTCGTCGAAGAGTATATTATCAAGAGTCGCTTTCAAGGCATGAGAACCGATTGCAGAAAACAATGTCCGTATATTTCACATCGTAAAGCGATTAAGATCGCTTTCTGGAATTTAGTTTTGTAATTCTATTTTATATAAAAAGCGCTCTTCTTTTACAATGTCAAATAGATCTAGATTAAATTACGAGATTCATAAGAAATTCCGGCTATAGATGTCGATAGGACAAAATGTTTTTTTACAATCGGTTCAAAAATTATTCAACCCTTAACTAATATGGTGGAATCTTACGGTATGATATATGAGACTAGATACGTTTATATATTATTATTATTATTTTTTAAATAATTTCATGAATTTCACTATATTTTGTTATCAAAACGAAAGCATTTTTCGTTCGTTGCTCTTGTACGAGACGAAGAAATCGTCTCATCTCTACGGATACATCATCATTTTCTTTTTTTGCACGATTATGTAGAAACGTCCGGATATATGATTCGTTTTACACCACAATAGTTAAGGGTCGATCATATGTACATCAAGCTTGACGCATCGTGATCGCGAGAGCATTCGAAAGATACGTATTATCATCAGGCGAAAGGCAACGTACATCGCACTTTTTTTTCACGTTGATTAATATTTTATATATTACGCGCTATATAAGAGACTAGATTCTCGGCGGGGAGGAGGGGGGGAGGGAGAGAGTATACTCCGATTCTTTCTCAACGTCAGAATCATCTAACACCGTATTCGATTGGATCACTATTGTCCCACGCGATTGTGCTGACACACAACTTACAGAGTTACATACATACTTAGACACGTAGTCCTTAGAATACGTACATAGTTATAGAATTTTTTTTTCTGGCTGATCCTTGGAGTAGGTCGCTCATTTCTTCGCGTTTAGTGTTGCTGCCTCGTTTCACTCTCGATCGCTTCGCGGTGCTCAGTTTTATTTTAATGGAAAACAACGGGATGACACTGTATGAGCTCGTAACTATGTATATTCTAATCGATCGGGAAGAACGGTATATTTTTTTGCTCTCTTTTTTTCTTCGCTGCATATAAGTACACGGAGAAAATTTTACAGTAGAAATTATATTCCCTTTCACAACATTTATTGTAAAGCTGGAATATAACGACAGTATATTTATTATTATAAAAATTGTAATTTACGTATTTGTTTTATTGTTTGTTTAACGATTATGCATTTGTTTGTGCATCAAAATATTTGAATAATTATATTTCTTTGTAAAATATAATAAGTATATAATATTATTGAATAAAAATATCATGATTTTTCTTATATGTTAGTACGTTTCACGATTACAAAAATTTAATATTGTAATTTTTACTATATTTTCTCCGTGTACGGTTAAAAGCACGTACAGATTAAGCGAACATACTTTGCTATTTACCGTTCAGTGAAGAACTCTTGTTAGAAAGTACCTTCGGACACTTTATAGTTATATTCAATAGCTGCACATCTTGTTTCAATAAATTTATACAAACAAAATGTGTAAATAATAAAGTTAATGATTAAAGAATAAAATTTTTATATGGAATATAGGATATGTTTTTGTTTTACGCTTTCATATTTTAAAACGAATGCTTCTACTTTTGCCAGGAACATACATATTTGGTTATTATTCATATAAAAGTCAATATGTTTCCATTATATTGACTGATTACTAAGATATAGATTGATTAAGAAGATAATAATCTGCGAATTATTATAAATCAATATTATATTATTACCTCAAAAATATCAGTTAATATTTTTTTCTACTATTTCTCACTTGCACATATACACACACATACACAATATATTTGTGTATATTCGTTCTTTACTAATAAGCCATTTATGGACAATAATGTTCACTTAGTTTATACACACTTTCAACGCATTCTTTGTATCTAGGTACAAAACGCACGGATACATGATAGAAATGTGCATTCCTCTCTATATGATGATACATATATTTCTTGAAATAGCACCCAGATATGAAATATAATCATTAAAAATTCCGAAACACAATCTTGACATTTACGAATATTAGCTAAAAGTGTTAAACGTTGCGACAGTGCAGGCTAATGCTGTTGTAAATAAAATAAATCTAAACTGAATAAATATGTGTTACAAAAGGAAGTAGGCTATCACTTTCAGAATATCTTGGCCGATTTAAACATTTTCGATAATACATATTTTTGTACGATAAATATACAGTTATATACACTCGTGATATGGCAATATACATGGTACATGTTACGATATCTCGTAGCAGATATAGAGTACCTAGATACAAATATTCAAAGCAAGAATAATTAAGATACACCGTATCTCAATACTGTACCTAAATACGTGTCGGTACGTGTTATATTTAGGTACTATCTAGACATCTATAGACGTTTCGCGGTATGCTAATACACGTATTTTCACGTGATGAAAGTGACGCGCGGCGTTTTCGGCGTGCTGTTAAAAAGTGCTGATTGCGATACGAGTACGCGACGTACTTAAAAAAGATCGTTCCAAGGGATAATTCAAATGCGAGAGCAGCGTGTAATGTATACGCTTCGTCCTTATCGACGAAATACTTCTTCATTCAATATTTCCGACGTGCGCGTCTCTCGATGCGATTCTCTATTAGCTATATAAATGTAACTTTAAATCTGTAAGTCCATAATTAACATGCGCTTCATCGCGTATATATATTTATGTATATATGTACACAGTCTTACAAAGCAAAATTTACAAACATTACGACGTACGGTCGATCGAATAAATATGCGTCCTCCGATGCGACCGGGTCGGGTTGCAAGTTTTGCACGTTGCTTCGTCGTATTTTGATCGCGCGTCTCGTATACACCTGACAAAGACTGATTGACAGCCTGCCGTGCGCACGTTCGGCTGTGAACCGGTGAAAAATTCACCGCTGACGGCGAATCGCGCACGTTAAGCGAATATGTATCCGATGTAGATCAAATATCCAGCAGAAAGAGCGAGGAGGAGACACGCCCGTATACATATCGGCGATACAAAACTCTTCTTTCTTTGTACATGAAACGTGATATTTTGACATCTGTAATGGAAAGATTTGCGAGGTGATAATGTTCCTTCGCACTTTTTACTGTTAGATGCGGCATAGAAAGAGCCATTGCGCGATCAAAATACAAAGCATCTCGCAAATGATGCTCCTCTCTTGCAACCCTGACGGGGGAGAGGGAGAGGGAGACAAGGAGAAGGGGGAGGAGGAGGAGGACCCGTGATAGCGCAGGGGAAGAGCTTTTGAGCGAGAGATCAAGATGGCACGGGGGGCAAGGAGCGAGGATACGCAACGATCCTGTAAGAAACGAAGGAAAGCTCGCAGCGAGGAACAAAACGTCGTGCGAGACGTTTTCGTCGTCATCGAGCGAACGATTTACCTACCCCACTTGGCCATCGACAGTCAGTTTTTTTTTTTTTTTAAAGCCTCTTGCGTGTATGTACGAACAGTACTCCGATTATTTATTACGTCAACAAGTTTTCGCAATCGCGACGCACGAATTGGCCCATCGACAGTCATTTTTTTTTTTTTTAAAGCCTCTTGCGTGTATGTACGAACAGTACTCCGATTATTTATTACGTCAACAAGTTTTCGCAATCGCGACGCACGAATAATATCCTCGCGTATGAATTTAAAGGAAACAAAAGAAAAACGTCATAGTAGATAAAATCTATTGAATATTGTCAATACAATAGACGAGTAGTTTAGAGAACTATTAACGAGAAAATTTTTCAAATAGAAATAGCAAAAGTATCAATTAACGAAAACGAATGAAAACGAGAAAGATATACTCATTTGATTGAATATCATTTGGGATAATGATATACATATGTGTATATATATTTTGTAAAAATGGTAAAAAAATATAGTGAATATATGCATCTCCTCGCTTGGGGCTATAATATAAAGTATTGATGTAATGCACAATTTCTCTTTAGCGTGCATTACATTTTACGTATCATTATTTACGTATTGACGCGAATATATTACGGCGCAAATTATATCATACTTCAGGAACTTTCACCCGATGCGCGCCCGAAAACTGTTAGCGATCGTAATAAATTGTCAAGAGACTGTATATGAATTGTGTATGAAGGAGTAATATCTCTCTTAATTTCGTTAATATGAGTGTGTACGTATGTGTTTATGCATGTTTGCGCGTTACTCTTGATGTGCTGCTAGGAAGCTGACTAGATTATAGTCTAAAATACGAAATATCCGGGTAATTATCGTCCTCGTACATAGCGGAATCTCATTTCCGCGAGAGCGAGTTGTCGCTACAGAGAGAATTCTCCGAGAGAATTCTCAAGAGACGAACATAAAAAAAAAAAATAACAATAAATAGAATTTGACGCGCTCACTCGCATCTACTGACGAGGATCCCGGTGTTCCGTATCGACGTTGACTACTGCTCGACCTTCCAAGAGGTCGAACGGCCCTACCTAGGCATTCGACTCCTTCAGATTGTCAAAGTATTGCATGATCTGATTGTAGTCCATACCTAGATTAAGATCGTCGAGCGGCACTGACTCCTCCTGTTCCTGGAAAGACGACGAGGCGCAGGAGGAGCTGGAGGAGGACGAGGAGGAGGATGATGAGGAGGAAGCGGACGGCGACGAGGATGGCGGGGACGTGGTGGTGGACGAGGCTGTGCCTCCGATAGGTGTAGACGTGTTCACGGTAGAGACGACAGCGGATGTGGAGAAGGACGAGTACATCGGATTACCGACTATGGTCGCCCTCTTGATCTCCCGGGACCTCCCGGCGTCCTTCGAGAGATGTTTGTTGCTATCGTCGTGATTCACCACCAATTCCACAAATTCCTCGTCCTCGCCGTTCTGCTGCTTGTTCGCGTTCTCCACCACTCTGGCTTTCGCGTGCGGTTTGACCATATGATGGCCCGACTGCTGCGGCGGTTTGCCGCTGTGTCGATGATTATTCCCGTGATGGCTGCCACCGCCACTGCCGCCGCTGGACGTCCTGTGGCGATGTTTCCGCGGTGGTTCCGGCAGCCGCACGTTAACCCCCGTGTTCCTATGCGGCGGTACCGGCGGTTTGTAGTCCTCGTTGTTGCCGTTGCTCGCGTTGTTCGTGCCGATTGTCATCGTTGTCGTTGTCGTTGCCGCAACCGATGTCGAAATCGCGGGCAACACCCCGTGCGGTGGCAAGGGCGGAGGGATATCGTCGTTGCTGGAAAGAAATTCGCAATGACGATTAAATTGATATAATAATACATCATTATTTCGTACAAAAAAATGTATCATTTTTCTCATCGCGGAATATTATTTTTTTCCTTTGTCTTCGAAAAGATATTTCACGACAATCTTCGAAAACTATATGAGAATCCTCGATCTATACAAAGAAAAACAATAACATTTAATCATAATTACTCATTCCGCGTGGTGGCCGGGGTTACCACCGTCGTCGTCGCCGTCGTTGTTGCATTATTGCTGGGTGGTATCATTGCGGACGACTTGATCGCGGATTTTGCCGCGAAACTGTTCCGCGCTACTCTGTCCCTCTTAGAATAAGTTGTGGTGTCGATAGCGCTGGTACCGCTAGGTCGTTGTTGGTTGGCGGACGGTAGCTCGATGTGATTCGGATTGTCAAAGCACGTGCCCAGTTCGTTCTCGGGTTCACCTTCGCCGGCCAGCGGATTACTCGTTACGCGCACCTGTAACATAAACCGAGTTTCCAATCAAACGAGATTCAACGAAATCTCTCGTTTATTTTGTTTAAACGCTGCCGCTGGATTATCGGAGCGAGAGGAGGCGAATACAAAGATATTTACAGCGTCAAATCCCACCGGAGACTCGTTGAATTTTAATCACCAATTAATCCTAAATGTGCGTATTCCCTCTGAACTGTCAATTAACTAATCATGTTACGTTTTATCCAAATTTCACTCATTATCGTTTAATTTGTTAGAAATCCTAAGTAATTCTTTGATACTGATAGTCATGTTTAAATAAAGTTCGAATTAACTGTACATATTAACGTATATCACTTGCCTGATTTTATGCTTTACTCTTACTAATGAAATAATCTTTCTTACCGATTTATATACAATAAACTAGCCGATAATTACGTCATCGTAGTTAATCATGCATGAAATTTTCGAAAGTAATAACTCTATCAGGGTGTCTACTCAAATCTTGCAAAAAAATTCTAATCTTCAAGTTTTTTTGTCTAAAATTTTAAGTAAAGAGAATTTTTTAGAGATTTCTTGTGAATACAATTTCCTTAAATAATTTTTTTAAATTTTTGATAGATTGTCGATTGCTTACAATGTAAAAACAAAATTATCAAAGAGAGAATCGTTTTTTAAAAAATTCCAATAAAAATCCATGAAAATTCTCTGATCTTTTCCAAGTATAAAAAAGTCTCTGTAAGAACTCCAGGTTCTCCATGTTTTTCCAGGGAGTAGACACCTTGCTCTACGTATATCGTGCGATTCATTCAGTGTACGTACCTGTTGCGGACCGCAGGCGGCTCGCTCGAGGGTAGCTCTACCCAGCCATACCCAGTCGTGTGCGTTGGTGGTGGATTCGCGTGGCGGTCGTCTGCCGGATGCCAGCTGATTCGCGGCGGCGCGTGCCCTCGCGCCCGCTCCGGCGAGCACTGGTACGGCCGCGCCGGTCAGGAGTCCCGGCGAGTCTGGTGGTTGGGGCTTGAACTTGCTGGCGTACACCACGCAGGAGACGACAAAGACAACGATCGCGAAGCAGAACGCCGCGAGCAGCACGTACATCCCGATCTCGAGCGGACTCATGCGCGCCCCGACGCCATGGTGACGCACGCCGACGCCGCCCATACCCCCTGAAGACATGCCATTAGCTATAGCCGTGCGATGCTGCCGCGCCTGCACCAGAGGCTCGTGCTTGTGCCCGTCTTTCTCGTCTTTCAGCGGTAACCCTTTGCACAGAAAAAAACAAAGAGAGAGAAAGAGAGAGAGGACAGAGTGAGACGACAGGGTGTTTGTGCCGAGTTGGAGAGAGCCACCGCGAGAGAATCTTCACCCCTTAATCCCTTCAAGCTGGACAGGCGGCTGGCTAGACATGCTACTGGGCATGCGAGGATCGAGGAAGGGCTACCGTGAACGTGCATTTGTACTTTCGGCGCGGCAATATTATGTATATATACAATAATTTCGTACTATCTTATTGAATGCGTAATATTATCTAAATTGAGATTTTGGTACTAATCTGAGATAAAAGGAGAAAAAAGAAGAATCATGTATTTATAAACGTTTCGAGATTAAGTAATTTTTAAAGTCAACTTTTTTCTTCAGTCAATTGTGTGTCATTGTTCGTATTTCGCATATAGTAGTAGATGTTTCAAATTAATTAATGATGAGATATTTCAACGATTTGTAATGAGCGCGTTGCATTACAAATTATTTTTCGAGGCAGACACATTTGATATCCAACATACAAAAGGAAAGAAAACTATCAGTTACGGGAGACTTGGACGGAAACCGTGGGGGAAGATTACGCATCAATAGACAGGCGAAACTTTTCACAAGCCAAAGAAAGATCGCGAAGAAAGTTTTCGCTATAGGAAATACATGCCGTGCGCAATGTGGCGGTTATAAAGCGTAGCGGAGAACGGAAGAAGAAGCGAAGAAAATGTGAAAGAAAGAAGAAAGAAAGTGGAGAAAGAGAGAAAGCAAGAGAGAGAGAGAGAGAGAGAGAGAGAGCAAGCGGCAAAGGGGAACAGGATCTATTTACCGATGAGAATGTCATGTAGATCAGGTGCCATTTCGCCCCGGTTGGTTTTACGTTCTCTGTGATGATGGGAGCCGACGGTGCCGCCGCCGTCGTTTTGCACAAATTCCGGCCGATTGGGCACCTCGCTCGAGGCGAAATCCACCTCGACATTGGCAGACGCGCTCGCCAATGCGGCGACCGTCGTCCTCTGAGAGCCTTTGCCCGACCGTCTGCCGGATAATCGGCAGGAATCGGCCAGCTGAAGATTGACGCGCAGTAAGTCACCGCGACCCTCGCCGACGGCGATGACCCGGGGATGATGCGAAGCGACCATCGGCGCGAACGCCACGACTTCCGGATCCGTGCTTTCAACCTGCAAATGGTAATCGCTCACGGCGATTTCCCTTAGGGGCGTACGGGTATTGTCCGAGAACTCCACGTCGATGTCCAGCAATCCCTCCTGTTGGTGCGATACGTACGATAATTGCGTTAAGTTTATATACAGTTTGCTTGCGCAATCACAGTTTCGATCACAGAATCCTTGGGAGAGTTTGGAACTAATTTCTCCAGAAATTAGTAGATGAAATAACACAATTTTACGTAATTTTTTAAGTGTAATTTTCTTTTATTTATTTTGACTTGTTTAATCAGAGTTGGATTCAATGATCTAACAAAATATTAAACTCTACAACTTTGTTGTTTTCTAAGAGATCGATTCTTTGAGGTCTTTTTCTCGAAATAAATTTGAAAAATAATACAAATATTTCAATAATATTACCTGATACTGTGCGGTCAGTCTTCTCGTAACCGAGGTTTCCGCGACATATCCATTCTCGATCGCAGTGTCGGGACTGATGCTGAGCTGAAGTCCAGACACGACTCGGACGGACAATCGTATCACGGACACGCGATCGTTGCCAACCCTGATTTCCTTCGCGCCGATGACTCTGCCAGTGATCGGCGACAGTACCTGCACCTCCGTGCGTCCCACCCCGCGTCCCTGAACCAGTCTATTTTGTAGGAGTGTCGCTATCCTAGGATCGGAGATTCGTAGCATGCCGGCTACGAGGTCGGTGACGCGCAGCCAGGTGCGCCGATTGACAAAGTACGAGACTCTTCCCGAGTCATGATCGCTCGCCAGGAATCGGGCGTGCACCTCGACCGGGCTCTGCTGGAAACGCAGCCGGCAATTGGCCGGGGATAGATTCCGATCGATGGAGTTAATCGTATCCCCCCATCCGTGATCGTTTTCATTGCCACGGAATCGCTCCTCGTGCTCGTCCTCCTCCTCGAGGAGCGGCTCGTCCGGATCGTCCATGTCCATCGAAGTGTCCTCTAGCGATTCTTCGAGCTCGACGGCGCTCCTCTTCCTCGCTCGCGCGGTGACCGGCGATTCCGAAGTCCGTTCCCCGGTGGTCCTCGTCGCGTTCAACAGGCTGCGCTTATTCTTGGCGCTCGTCGCGTGCTCCTCCGGCACCTTCCAGCCCTTTATCTGGCTGAGTCGCGTGTCGCCGACGCTCACCTCCAACGGAAACTCGGGCATCCACACGGTGAACCTCGCCAAACCGGTATACGTGCCATACTTGACAAGGACCGACGCGTTGCTGGAACCCCGAATCTCCGAACCGTCCACGTACACGCTGCTACACGAGGACGATACCTGCAAATTTCGGACGATCGGGTGTTAAGTGGAGTTTGATTCTGGACTACAGTTTGTAATACAACGTCTAACGACAGTGCACAGATTGTTGGGGTTTCCAAAGTGCCACTTGAACTGACGATTAAACAAACTACAACTACTCAACAGTTTGAAACTTTTCTCGATATGTATTACACAATATTATACGATATATTTTCGAAAGAATTTAAAATATTAATATTATAAAACTTCAGATATATATTATAGAAACAAATTTTTTTTGTGAAGATGCATTTTTCATGATTTTATCAACGTTTTGCTAAATAAAAGTACATATTTTTATTAACCAACCGTCACACACGAAATAAACAATATGTCATCAAAATTAACATTACCTACAGAATAGTTCAATGATATTAAATGATATCTTCTGTCACGTATAAACACACTTAAAAATTATCATAATAAATTATCACGATAAATATGAAAAATTATATATATAAAATATCTAAAAATTATCATGCAAATAATAGGAATGAGGGACTTGAATGAAGAGTTTGAAAATACTATTAGCGTCTATATAACACCGTGATTTTTCTCTTCAAGAAGCTTTCCTTCGAATTAAGCTATTAAGGAATCTCGATAAATGCTGAAGGTGAATTAAAAAGCAATTACCTTGAGAACGCTCTCGTCCTCGGAATGACAGGACGACTGCAGCGTGACATCGGCCACCGTGCCGGCTTGACTAACGATGAAAACCTTCATCCCCTGCGACACCTGACGCCCCGTCAGCACCGCCGTATTCATCACCTCCCAGTTCTGAAACAAAACACAAAATATTTCTTTCTATCTCTTTCTAGAGAGATAAACTTCTCGTATCTCAAACGTATATTTCAATTTTTAATGCCATGTGATAGAAATTTGCGTATATTTCAATATACGTATTTCTAGAACCTTCATATATGATGGAGATATTATATCCATTATTCATAACTGTTATCTATTCTATTTCAAACTTTATCCCCCTTTCGTTGCATGATATGATAAAAAGCGCGGTAAGGGCGATATTAAAAAATATGTATTACCCAAAATATAGAAAAGAAACATAAATAGAAATATATGCACGAAGGAATATATTCTGTGAAAAAGAAACATCGTACTTCTTTTCCTTAAATACAAATACAAAACTTATTTTTAATTAATTATTTATAAATAGATAAAATAAATAGAAACACATTACAACGAAGGAACATTAACAATATCATATAATAAAATATATATCATAGAATAAAATAAGATAAAACAATTCTAGTAATCAATTTTGTATAATAATAATAATCTCCTCAAATTTATTTATATAAATTTGAGGAGAATAGCCAATTTCTATATGCACGAAGGAATATTCTGTGAAAAAGAAACATCGTACTTCTTTTCCTTAAATACAAATACAAAACTTATTTTTAATTAATTATTTATAAATAGATAAAATAAATAGAAACACATTACAACGAAGGAACATTAACAATATCATATAATAAAATATATATCATAGAATAAAATAAGATAAAACAATTCTAGTAATCAATTTTGTATAATAATAATAATCTCCTCAAATTTATTTATATAAATTTGAGGAGAATAGCCAATTTCTGTAAATATTCAATATACTGTCTATTATTCAAAATTGATTACTAGAATTGTTTTATCTTATTTTATCCTATGAAAAACTGGAGGGAAAAAGAGATGAAAGAAAATTAAATATTCTATTACGACGGATTGTTTTTTCTTCCATTTCTTTCGAGGCAAAAAGAATGTGAGTTCTTGACCTCTTGTTAAAATTATAACTTCCAAGTTGCACAAAGCTTGTAGTCTTGACTATAATTCAAAATTTTTCCGATGGAACTATCCTTTCTAATAATACATATATTTCCCATGATAAAATTTTTTTTAAAAGAAAGTGAGATATATCTGCCTTTTCGTAACAACCGATTCATTTACTAACATCATAAAATCATCGCAAAGCGCTCGAAAGGATTTTCATGAATGATATATCTACCTAAACGTGTCTGACGTACACAGCTGCTTCACTACTGCTGAGGACTCGCTCGCGCGATGTTATATACACGTACACGTGAAAATTACTTCCAACATTTGCGTTCGCATATACACGCGTAAACTTCATACTAGTTCGTCAACGAGAAATCCCGCAAAGGGAGTTTCGGTTGACGAGGATCGGACGGTCGGGTCCAGTAAGCCATTTCCAAGTTGGCTTCCGTCCGTACGGACTCCGCAAGCGGGGACCTTTGGAAGAGGAACATCAAACGGCTCGGATATTGCAGCGAGGGAATTTAAATCTCTAACGCCGCGCGCGAGAGATACCCCCCTTGGTGCTCGATGTATGCGCCAGCCAACTATACTTTATCGTCAACAAGGAGAGAACGTGTTCTCTCAACAATGGTAGAAGTGGCGGGTGCGGCTCACCTTCCGTATGCGAAACTCGCGCGGCTCCTTTTTCCCTTCCTTTCATCAAATATTTTTCCAGTGGGATCGGCACTCGCACGCGAATATTTACGAGACTACCTGCGCGAGAGATACAAGGACGTAACGCCGTTATCTTGTATCCCATCGTGCAAAATGCGACGCGAATCTCCCTGGAAGGGATCGCCGGTTACAATTGTTGTATACATATCGATCTTCGATTCAATTTCTGTCGCGTGATACATAGAGAGTGTTAGAAAAGAATATGTCAAAATCGGAAGTATTATTATTTGATCCTTTCAATACTTAAAAACAGCGATCTTCAAGATCATCCTCTGAATATCTTCAGTAAAAATCCTTTCAGGTAATTTTTAGAAAAATCGAAATCTCTCCATAATATTTTATCAAAATTTATTGAAATCTCATTTTTCTGCTATTTAGATTTTTGCAACTTATTTTATGACTTTTTAAATTTGCTCCTCGAGCCCTTTTATTTTTTATTTAAATTAATGATAATTAATAATAAGTCAAATTATAGAAATGACCCCATTTAAGCAATTTAAGATCGTAAGTTTCTATATAATTAATAAGTTTATACACACTCACACATACTTTAAAGGACAGAAGACACGTACAGAGAGACAGAGAGGGGAGGTGGGGGGAGAAGGGAGGGATGATAATGCTTGCACTTAAGCCATAAGCACTTCGAATATAGCCCTGGCTACACTAGTTATAGCTATTAGACTATAATAAAGCAAGACAACAAGACTGTATTATATAATAGCAAAGACACAACTATCATCAGCTAAAAATATTTAAGATACAATCAAGATTTATTTTATACATTCGCGTTGACAAATGTGACAAGTAAAGTCTATAAATCTGTGATTAGGTCTTGTAGCAGTGCATAATATAACATACATACTACACAAAAGTTCGCGTTTTGAGCAGACGATTATAAACTTTATACAGAGCTCAATTGTATTATTTATATAATAAATTGCCCTGAATTTGCCGTCTGCTTCTTTCGAAATCAAGTCGCGAAAATAAATCTTTTTTACATATCAAGATTAATTTTACACTTTGCATCTGTATTATTAAGAGACAATTGTATATTTTTCTAAAATGTTTTGTGTGTTTATTCTCCGTGTAGAAAAATTATTCACGATCGCGTGATCGTGAATAATTTTCACGATTCATTTTTCTTCATTCACTCATTCGCATTTTATTTCAACAGATTAATTCGTTGCACGAGGTCGTTATAAAATTCCAACACGAGAGCACAAACGCAGAAATCTTGATGAATAGATATATGTATAAAGGCAGCAAATCCAACTTTCGTAGATCGTTAAAATTATTTTTTGATATACGAACTGCTGCACACGCAGCAGCGTTATTTTCCGAGATCACAAAATTATCTCCCGAGCCCGTTGAAGGGAAGCGAAGAGCATTTTCATCGTAGAATGTGATGTTTAATCGACGAAAGGGAACGGAAAGGGACGGATGAACGGGACAGGAAGAGATGGGGGAGGGGGAGGGAGAGGAGCAAGGATTTTACGCTACTGCGAGCGTAAAATATGCACAATACACAGTCCATTAGGTTGATAAATTTCAACGGGGTAAACAAGCGCGCGCGTGTCGGAGGTCGTTAATTGATAAATTAGATAATTAATTCATTTACATATCCTTTTGAAGGCACGCGCGTGCACACGCTCGCGGAAAGTTGCCGGAAACTCGACGCGCTCGCGCACGCTTCTTGATTATCCTTACTCTAATTGCTACTCCTTCCGCGTGCGAGAGACTGCGAGGAAAGTTTTTAATTAAAAGAGAACTCGCGCGACCTCTTTCCTTCAACGTTCTCGACCTATGTGTTCTGAGTTACCTATCGACATTGCGATACCGGAATTTTATCATCAAACTCATCGACAGCGTTATCCAACTCAATATCGGTGTAATAAAAATCTCCGAAGAAGTTATAAATTAATAACCTTTGATATTATCCACGGGATGCCGTAGAATCACATCAAATACCTTTACAATCACAGCCCTTCGGCTAATCTGGAGACGATACTTCCTTCGAGAAAATATCGATAAAGATCATTTATTGTATAGCTCTCTCTTTGTTAGAAATTTTTCCTATCAAATATCTTTAAAAATATACTTTAAATTAAAATTATATCAAAGTATAAACAATTAAAATTATTTTAAAGTTATTAATTAAAGTTATTATCAATTAAAGTTATCTAAAAAAAAATATAATTTAGTAGGAAAAGATATATTTACATTATTAAAAAAAAATATATATCAAGAGACAAGTTTTAAAAATTCATTTAATTGGCTGTTTTATACGCACAATATGTACTAATTTTTTAGATTTTATTATACAAATCAATGCATTGATATATTTTTGAATTAATTCGTTTAACATTGTTTTGTGTCTAATCATCAATGCGACTCCATATAAACTGACTTTCATAGAGAGCTATGTACCATGCACCTGCTGCATCATGTTTCCGGAAATTGCGAGCATGTCACGGATAATGTGAAACCCTCCGATTTAATTCGCATTCCTAGGGTTGTGTCCCTATCGTGTTATTGTAGATCGCTTGAAAAGCGATTTACCGAAACAATGTTTGGCTTTTGTGTGCAAGTACAGACGTTGCAATCTGTCTAATTGATTTTTTTCTTTTAAATGAAACTCGATTGTTATCCCTAATAGTATTTACAACTAAAGTCGAAGACTCAACAGCTTTTAAATGCTTTCTTTTTTTAAATAAAACGTTTTGATAAAAAGGTAATTAAAAAAAAATCTTTTTACATGCAACTTCGCGTTGTATCATCCGTATATTTTTCAAGAGTCTTTCATATATGATCGATTTGACGATTCGATCACATACATATGCACGTTCTGTTTTTTTACAATGCTATTATAAAAATATAAAAATTTCGGGCGCTAGAAAACTCGCGCAAAACATTTACATACATCGATATAAAAAAAAAAAAACAAAAAAAAACTGTGGAGTTGAATTTATGTCTCTCGACTAAAATTTTCGATGTAGAAAACAAATTATATAGTTTTATTTAGAAAAATCCTCGTTACCATCGTTGAAAAATGTGCAAAAATAAATTATCGAAATAATTTCATCGTTAAGGATTAAAGTATAATATTATAGTCACGTCGAAAAATAGATTCTCTTTGCAATTTTACAATTTTAATTAAAAATACTCTTTTCTTCGAAAATTAATACTTTGAGAGAAAATTAACGTGTCACGTTTAGCACTCCACGTGTGTAAGAACGGACGGGGAAATGCGTGGACGCCACTCGATGTGCGCCAGCAATCGAAAATTTCATTACAATCCGTTGTTACGGCAGCTGCGTCGTTGCCGTTATCGAAATGGGAGTATGTTGCATTGGCATGCGATCGACCCCGTGGAATTTTGCCACGGCTAGAAATATCGCTGTTTATGGTGAACGTGCAGGCGCGAAAAAGCCGAGGAGAGAGAGAGAAAGAGAGAGAGAGAGAGAGAGAGAGAGAGAGAGAGAGAGAGAGAGAAAGAGAGAGAGAGAGAGAGAGAGAGAGAGAGAGAGAGAGAGAGAGAGAGAGAGAGAGAGAGAGAGAGAGAGAGAGAGAGAGAGAGAGAGAGAGAGAGAGAGAGAGAGAGAGAGAGAGAGAGAGAGAGAGAGAGAGAGAGAGAGAGAGAGAGAGAGAGAGAGAGAGAGAGAGAGAGAGAGAGAGAGAGAGAGAGAGAGAGAGAGAGAGAGAGAGAGAGAGAGAGAGAGAGAGAGAGAGAGAGAGAGAGAGAGAGAGAGAGAGAGAGAGAGAGAGAGAGAGAGAGAGAGAGAGAGAGAGAGAGAGAGAGAGAGAGAGAGAGAGAGAGAGAGAGAGAGAGAGAGAGAGAGAGAGAGAGAGAGAGAGAGAGAGAGAGAGAGAGAGAGAGAGAGAGAGAGAGAGAGAGAGAGAGAGAGAGAGAGAGAGAGAGAGAGAGAGAGAGAGAGAGAGAGAGAGAGAGAGAGAGAGAGAGAGAGAGAGAGAGAGAGAGAGAGAGAGAGAGAGAGAGAGAGAGAGAAAGAGAGAGAGAGAGAGAGAGAAGCAGTTGCGAGGAGAAAGGAAAAGCATTATCCTTTGTCGATCCTTTCTGCACCGGATGCCTTTTCCTTTTTCTCACCATCTTTCCTTCCTTCTTCTTTCCCTCTCGGTGTCTCGATGCTCGCGAGGATCGTAGATTGTCGACCGAGTGGAAACAGATTCTCGAGCGACGGCGTGATCGATATACGAACATGTATTGATCGCCCCCTCCCCCTCCTCTCTCCCCGTTGTTCGAGCTAGCTCTTTTCCGAGAGATTTTCACCGACGAAGAGCG